TACGTTGCGTGCGTGCGTGCGTGCGTGCGTGCGTGCGTGCGTGCGTGCGTGCGTGTGTGTGTGTGTTTTAGGGATAGTGAATAAATGACGTCCTTTATTTTGCTCTAGTGTAATAAAATAGAGGTTTTTTTTATTAAATTTTTCTATAAAATATTTTTTTATTTATTAAACAATTTTGAGATATAAAAAAAGCCAATTCTACATATAACGACTACATAAAAAATATAATAAACAATTTCAAAAAGACTATAAAGAAACTAGTATATTTTATTTTTTTTTACTGCAAATAATTTTTAAATTTATATATTTACTTCACTTATATGTACTTAAAATTTTATTAAAAACAGACTTTAATACTTTGCAAGATTTCCTTGTTAGATTAGACATATTTCAAAATTATTTTACAGCTCAAAAGTATGGCTTGTACAACAATCTATTTTTCTTTTAAAAAAATTTAAAAAATGTGATATCTTGGTCATTTCTAAATGCACTCTTCTATTAAATGTGGTAAAACGAGATTGCAATTATAGGTACATTCTAGAAATTATTTGACAGTTACAACAGTAACATATGTGTTTGCAATGTTTGCATACATGCGTAACTGTGTTTATAAAATTATTCTTACCCCATTTTTATCACAAAGCTTGATTGTATTGAAAGATCCAACAGCAAAATAACTGCCGGAAGAGTGACACCAGCTAATTGCTGTCACTGGATGATCACCAGCAATACTGCAATATAGTTGATGACCGGTAGCGTCCCATACCTATATTAAAAACGTTTTTATATTTTTATAATAAAATTATCTTTAAAAAAACGAAAAAGAACCAAATACACATATGTTCTTCATTTTAGTTAATTCTTTTTTATGTAAAAATCTATTTTATATACTGTGACATTGCAATCAGAGCAAGGTCCCTCTGTTGTCATATGGTATAAATTTGCGTCTGATATCAGACCAGCAATAACGCAAATTTGAAATCTCCAGAAAGCCGAGTTTATTTAGAATTGCTAATTCTGATTATTTTTTTATCTTATTTTGATACCTTACTATACAACACGTCATAGACTTTACTTTATAGGAGCAGATATCGTCGACGCAATTTTTTGAAAATTTTTAAAAATAATTATTAAAAAAAATACTATTAACGTAAATAAATAGAGGTAATTTTATTGTAAAACTTTTGTATAAAACATTTTTTGATATCTTGAATAGTTTTCGAGATGTAACGGAAAAAAGAAAAATTAATTTATATATAAGGGGTAATTTCCCTTTAAACCGTTTTTTAACCCCAACTGATAATTTCTAAATTCATCTATTTATGTGACCTCAAAGTGTACCAAGTTTCATTAGAATCAGAATTTGACACTTCGCGAGGTTCCCTTGTTAGAAAAAAATCGATTTTTTTATTTTGGAGCAAGTATCGTCGAAACTATGAAAGACGAAAAAAAATGTTTCAAATAAAAGTTGAATAGCTTTAAGAGTATTTTATTGTTATAATATAAAATAATTTTATTTTTTTATTTACTCTCACTATCAAACATTTTTTGTAATTTTTAAAATTGTTGTTTTTACTAAATTAAAAATTATTTTAAGACAAATTCAATCATGTGACAAAGTTATTTTCTAAAGAAAAAATCATTTTCCAGAAATAATTATATGCCTCTATCGTGCACACTATCGGTACTCATTTATGCGCTTAATTCTTTACGCAGCACGTTTTGCTTGCATTTTTACATTTAACAGGAGATATAAATGATGGTGTTACGTCCTGAGGACTCTACGATTCATTTCTTTCGTAGAGAGTTCCGGACTTATAATTGATACAATTATTATATTATCTTAAAATTATAATTTGCATTCTGCAGATGCTTCTATCAAAATAAGAATAAAAAAATAATTACGAGTTACATACCTTGTACTTACAGTCTTCGCCACCAGAAGCTATAAATCCATTTGTTGGATTCCAACAAGCAATCAAAATAAGATTATCATGTGCATGCCACTGAAATTAAATTATGTTATTTATTATAAATGTTTCTTAAAAAAATAAAACAAGATAGAAATATTTACAATAAAAAATTATTTAAATTAATTTTTTTTGTTTATTTATTTGTTTTTATAACAAAACAAAATTTTTAGTATTGTAAAAAATATGTAAAAATAGTGTTCCCTAAGTTATAATATCACCACTGTTTGTAATTAGAAGATTCACAAATTATTTTTTCAACAAATATCTATTTTTCTTATTTATTATTAATAGCTAAAATATATAGGGAAGACCGGGGCTGGTTGATACATGAGGCACATTGATACATTCAAAATTGCTGCAAAATGACAAACGGTAATATTTGTTATAGCCAAGTGCTACTGAGCGATAAACCTTGCATTTCGGCATAGCAACGCATGCACAGCAGCGAGCGGAAATGCAAGAATGCAAGCTCGCGAGCGAGCGCGAATGAAGGTCGCATGGGAAGACGACACCTGACTTGCCATGCCCAAATATAGTCCAATCGCGGATCATCGCGAATTGAAATAAGACACCGAAAAATCCTATATAAACGACTGCCTAAACGTGCGCCGAAAAGAGTTCGATTTAGAGAGTCAAACAGACTACACGTTACACGCTGCGATAACACCTATCGAGTTGCACGACACCGAGTGCCGGCGAGACAGCCGCCACTCTTATATAATTATATTATATAAAAAAAATATAATGTTTCCGCAAAAATATAGTAGTCATGCTGCAATAAGATATTTTGGACTGAATAACATATTTTCAGAAATAAAAAATAATTTCAGTTTTTGATAGCCAAAAGTAAAATAGATCAGTGATATATTAAATGTTGTATTTATAAATCTGCTTATTATATTATAATTCCAACTATTTTTTTAGAATATTTACTTTATAAGTAATAACTTATAGTTATGTTAACGTCTTAAAATATATTTTTTGCTTATGCAACAATTAAAATGTGTAAATATGATAGACCCAAGGCATAATTAAGATCGAATTTCACTCTGTAAGTTCGTTTAATCTTCAAATTATTAGTTCCAGCAATCACATTACATATATGTATAACTGTAATCCTGCAACAAATTTATTTAATGTTAATTGTATTAAAAACTGAGAGTCTCTGTCACATTCAAGCTCTAAATTTACATGGAATGGAAAAATATTCTTCCAAGCATATCTTATATTACTGCTTGTCAATTCATTCCATGCATTACTTATTGACTAGGAACATTGTAACAAATTGAATGATTTTAATTGCTTTTCAACTTCTTCAAAAGTGTCTTTAGCTAGTATTACTCTTAAAAAGTTAGTTTTATAGATATGCTTACACTTTGCTATAATTTCTGATAATGTTTCACAAGGTTCTGCAGAATTACTGCAGCAGTTGTAATTATAATCTGTGTTTGCTACAATATAATTATGATTTATAATTTTATATATGTGTGTGTGTGTGTGTGTGCGTATGCGTGTGCGTGTGCGTGTGCGTGTGTGTATGTGTGTATGTGTGTGTACAAATAATTACTTAAACTTGTCATATTTATTGCAGAATCATAAAAATAAAAAACGACTTATTGATGATCGTTTGACAATTTTAAAACGAGTAAATGGTGGTGAAAATGTCACTCGACTATCAAAAGAATATAACGTCAGTAATGTGACAGTCCTACGCATAGAGAAATCCGAAGAAAAGTTAAAAAGAAATCTTAATATTCTTCAAATGACTCATGGAAATATATCTAAAAAGAGATGCACAGATATCGAAAGCAGCAAATCGGAACAAAGTTTATATAATCGGTTTCTTCAAAAACGAAGTATTGGTAAAAATTGTTAGATTTGATGCATCTCCATTTGCATCCGTGCAGCTTTGTAAAGAATTAGTAAGTCATTTAATAAATTATGGATTTCGCAAGTAGAGACTTTAAGCTGTAAAATGCCTTTTGGATCATTCCGTTACGATCGTTTTTGACGAAGTTACACTTTTTTTTAAATTTTCTTATTTTTAGTGATCACAATGGGTGATCCTTTAATTTTGCTGTCGAGTGTAGTTCAAAGCAAGTACAATTCCGTGATCAATCTATAACAGCATTATGAAGGGTAATGTTCAACCTTTCAAACCATGTAATTATTTTTTTTATAAATACAGAATTCAGGAGAAGTAAAAGAAAAAAGTTCCGAATAGCCCCGGTCTTCCCTATTTTAGTTTATTAGAGTTTTGGTTAATATAGTGTGGTGGCGCGTATCCTCTCTGTGTATATCAACGATTACTTTGGTAAAAAGACGTTATGTTATAACCGTTCTGCAGATTATTAATCCGAATTTTGTATTAGAAAATAAAAAAGTTATTAAAATAAACTTAGTTTGTATCATTCTATTTCGGCTAATTATTGTCCTAAGACATTACACATACCTTATATGGTTTGGAATTAGAATTAAATGACTGAAGAAGCAAATTTCCACCTTGGGAATACAATATCATTGAACAATCAGGACTCCAGCTTGATGTTAGTATAGGAAGGCTTGCTTTTACCAACGTAGATCGAAGCATACCACTGCGAGACCAAATCTTGATTAATCCATCTTCCCCAGCTACAATATAAAAATTATAAACAGTTAAGTATAAAAATTATATTTTTCTTGAAACAAGAAATTTTAAACAACAAATTAACAAACGATTACCTGTCAATAATGCAGAACCATCAATACTCCATTTACCAACCGTAGTTGCACCTTTATGGGCATCAATACTTTTTTCAATACGACCATTTTTATTAACCAAATGGTATTTTCCTAGAAAATAAACATTATTATAAAATTATTGCTTTGAAAATACATATTTACAAATATATATACAGGTAAAGTGGGCTAAACTGAATCGAAAAGTCCTTTACCATTTTGTGATCTTTGCAATAATTATTGAAATATTAATCATTAAAAAAAATTTACGTCAAGTATATAAAAAAGTATCGTATATCTTTCCTAAATCATTAGCCATTTTAGTCACTTTAAACCTGTTTTATAAAACATAAAACTTATAAAACTTAAAATTATTTGGAAAGACAATGGCATTAAATTTGTTGCTTATACTTTTTGATGCTTTAAATGATTTGTTAAAAAATATTTTTAATTTGGAATAAAACATTTTTGTCTCTGTATCTAATCAAATACTTGGCAATTTATATGATCTTATATTTGTTTTTGAACAACTTTTGTTTGTTAAAATAATATTTTTAGTTTCAAAAAGTTGTTATAAATGTACGATACTTTTTTATATATTTGGCGTAATTTTTTTTTAATGATTAATATCTTGATAACCATTGCAAAGATTGCAAAATGGTAGAGGACTTTTCGATTCTGTATAGCTCACTCTATCTGCCCACGAGCGCTTTACCATTGAATACGTCTCGAAACACAATAGGTGTAGTAAGCCTTAAGTCTTAAGAAATGAAGAAATCGCAGTTGAATGTGAAAAGAATAATCGACTATGATCAATTTCTTACGGCTTAAGACTTACTACTCCTATTGTGTTTCAGGACTACCGGACTCTGTATATTTATTATTCATTCATTTTTTGAAAAAAAAAAAATAATAAAAGGAAAGAAACAACACAAATAAGTAAAGAGCACCTTTATTGATCAAAGCAGATTTTAATATTTGATAATATTTTGCGTGAATTAATACTCGTATTTTCTTCTGTTAACAGGTTTCCACCTTGCAAAAGTTCTGGGATCATAGGAGTCTGGTAGTCACGGAGCGCTCGTTTGCACGCGGTATACGACAAACGTATTTAAGGACTACAGGACTTTTACACCAAGACGGATGGCTGAACTTATGATTGCATCCGAAGATATTCGCCACGATACAGCTGAGGCCACAGTCGCCCTGTTACGGAAAGAAACGAGACCCCGGAGGATCACTATGTCGAAACGACGGAGGATATTTCAGAGGACTCCTTGTCTACTCCCAGCAGCACGAAGACTGCTGTTAACGAGTGGAGGCTAATTTCAGTGGAATTGACACCAGAGATCACGACCACCGCACCTCACGTTGCACGAGAGGGATCCACGACGCCGCCGACCAACTTCACCTCGTTAGGCTCCCGAGAATCTCACGATAGAAGAGATTATTCGGCGCGTTTAAATATCCAAACGACTTACACCACTGTTACGTCCGATAAGAATTGGGAACTACGACATTCGTCGGATCAAACAAGGCAGACCGAGACAAAATTTACAACTACTCGGGAAATCCAGACGCAGACTGCTGAAATCTACGTGTACGACAAATCCATACAGACGCCTATACTTCGATAGACCACATCCATTTCACGAAAACTTGGCCCCGGATCTCGTGGTGTGAGCGGAGGCAATAGTCTCCTGTATCACCGAATCGGCCCTTTTCAGGCCAATAAAATATCTGAAACACACACACACACACACACACACACACACACACACACACACACACACACACACATTTTTGTATATAAAGACACACCTGTAAATAGCACACATCTAATTTCTTGTACATAAATAAACAATAAATCATATATTAATTACACATATAAAAAGAAATTAATTCAATTAAAAAGTAACACACGGCGAAACCTTCCTCTACAAACACGCGTGAGAATTGCGGTCGAAGTTCAACGAAAATAAAAAAAAGAGATAAGAAACAGCGCACAGAAAGAACACAACGTTGGCTGGAGCACACGCGCTCTCTCGGCGTCGAAGTATACACGAACATACGTTCCCATATTATTTAATGAAAAATTTGTAATCATTGATTTATGCAATAAAAAATAATCTCAATACGAAATAAACACTTAAAATTAAGTGAATGTTCAATATAATAATACAGTCAAACCTCGATAACTCGAATCTCAAGGGATCAGAAAAACTGTTCGAGTTATAGAATTTTCGACTTATCGAAATTCGAGTAAAAGAGAGTTAACATATGAAAATTCGACTTAAGCTTTGTATGAGAGTTTGTAATTTTCCGATTATAATGGCTTTTAAAGGAAAAAAAATCAATATTTAACAATAAATTATTTATTGCACACATATGATAAATGTAATCAAAATAAAACAAAATACCAGGCTATTACTCTACAGTTAGACATAGTTACAACTTCGAATTACAGAGGTAGCGACAATGGAAGTTCGACTTATAGAGGTGAACTTCGATTTGTAGAGGTCTGGCTACTTTAAATTCGACAGTTACAGTTACAGAGATAAAATGTATATTTAAATGCCTGACAAATAATTCGAGTTAAAGTAGGTTTTATTTTGATTTACAGATGTTTTCCGTAGCAGTGCGGAAGGGGATGAACAAAATTTTCGTCTTATAGTGGTATTCGAGTTGTAGAGGTTCGAATTGTTCAGGTTCAACTGTATTACATTTCTAATAATCATAAATATATTCTTAAATAACATACCATCAGCTGTAGTAATTAATAATACATCTAAAGAAGATTTTTTAGCAACAGAAGCAGTTTGATTGGGTCGTGGGTGCCATTGCATATCGGTAGGATAAAAATCATTTGGAAATTCTGTTACAACAGTGGAATGTGCAGTACCACCTTCTAAATGCCAGCATATTAATAAATGATCTTCCCTGCAAGTAATCAACTGCTTTATAAATTACGAAGAATTACGTAGAGTAAATAATTTAAGCAACAAAAATATTTTAAAAATATTTTTACGATAATCTTAAAAATTATCTAAAGATAGAAACTGGCCTTGTATCAAATAACTTCAAAATCCGTGAATCCAGCTCTTGAATTAAATTTCTACATACAATATTACTAAAATTACGTAATTGTAAGTGAATATTAATATGCATGTGTCTAATTCTGATTATATAAATAAAATAATTAAATCAAGACAGATAGAATGAAAAAACGCAGCGGAGAAAGAAAGAGAGAAAAATAACACATGCAAATTTTTTATTTTACAATAGTCTTAAATATATTTTTTTAAATAATAAATAATTATGGATATAATTATTAATAATAAATAATGGATTATTAATAATTGTTATTTATTTTAAAACTATTGTAATATAAAATAAAATAAAAATAATAAAAAATAAAATATAAAATACAAAAATTTGCATATGTTCTTTCTCTCTCTCTCTCTCTCTCTCTCTCTCTCTCTCTCTCTCTCTCTCTCTTTTATTGATATTTAAAATATTATTTTAATTTGGGTTTTAATTAAAATATTCAAATATTTTAATCCGTTATAAATTTATAGTCTTAAATTCTATAATTTACTATTTCCTTTTATAATATTTTGTGTATTTATATGAAATATACATATATGAAATAGAGAGAATATTTGAAATAATAACATATAATATACTATAATATATTTCTACTTATATATAATTTGATTTATCTTTCATAAGATTGTAAATCCTGAAAATATTTATGATAATTATCCTTAATTCTTTCTATTTAATATATAAAACGTAAATAAAATATTATAAAAGGAAATAGTAAAATATAGAATTACAGATTATAAGTTTATAAACAGAATAAAATATTTGAATATTTTAATTAAAGCAGATATTAAAATAATATTTTAAATGTAAATATATAAAATAACTTAATTTTATTAATAGCAGAAAGAAAACCAATTAATATTCATATTAATATTATATATTCATGTTCATGTATTATAGAGTATTAGTTATGAGTATATATATAATATAAATATGATGTAAAGGAGTTAATGCATTTTAAATGATTTGGGAAGGACGCGGGAAACATTGGATTCACCTTTTTCTTATTTAACTTGCTTTTTTTTTACTTGCTAAATCCGAATCGTAGTTAAAATGGTCTTAATATCCGGGAAATAGTTTTTTCACATTTTAAACAGAAAAAGCAAAAGTTGATTTTATCACTTTATCTGCGAATTTCTTTTTGTTTGTATAAAAATATGTTTTCATATTATTTAAGCCCTTATATCCTTTCTTATCAAGACTTGAAAATCTGCAAGTTATCATAATTGCTTCTAAAAAAATATGTAATTTACAATATAGAATTACATATTTTTTTAAAAGCAACTAAATGTTTTCTTTACACCAATCGATTTATCTCATTATTTTATGCTTAAAAATATTAAGATACAATCAAAATCAAGAAATCAATTTATGTCAAATATTTCATATTTTATGTCAAAATATGATATAATAGAGCATAAAATATCTCTATTAAATGTTTTATAGCTTTTAATATTTTCATATGCAGAATAATTAAAGCAATTATATTTTGTAAAAAATTATATAAATTGATGTAGAAAAATGACAGTACTCTTTATATGATCTTGAAAAATTGATTTTCTCGTAAATTATTTTTACCATTATTTATCGCTCTTCAGTATAATTTTTATCTGAAATATTTTTCTGCATCTTTTATACTTTTCGAGATATTTCGATGCAAAACTTAAAATATATATACATAACTTAAGATAACTTGCAGATTCTCAAGCCCTAATGAAAAAGGACGAGAACTTAGATAACATCAAATATTTTTATAAAAAATATGTTTCGATAACAAAAAAAAAAATAACACGCAGACATGATTCGAACAAAGTAATAAAATCAACCGTTGCTTTTTTTGGTTCAAAATGTGAAAAAAAAGTTCCTGGATACACGGACAGTTTTAACTATATGATTTTCGGATTCAGCAAATAAAATTAAGTAATGAAAAAGGTGAACCTAACGTACGTTCCCCGCGTGCTTCTCAAATTGCCTAAAATGCATGAATTTCTTTCATAATTAATTTCTCCTTACCCACAAGAATAAATTTCTTCTGTTGAACTCCATGCAACACAAGTGAGTAATCTTTTATGTCCATTATCTTCATGTATTGATATCTTGAATTTCATACTAAATTTTTTCTTGACACTTTTAATGTATTATGTACATACACTTTTAAAATATTTAATAGAAGCAAAAAAGTACAATAGAGATTTTCGTAATTAAACAATATTATAAACAAATTTAAGTTAATTTAATCCGAGCAAAACAAATTATATTAATAATAAGTAATTTGCTATACTGATAAAATAGAGTAATGTTCGTTGCGATGGAAATTACGTGGGTTATATTATAACTGGTACAGATACATTTTGTTTACGCTTTAATTTCCATGGTAACTATGACAGCAAGGAATAGCTGCGTTCAACAGAAGTCAGTGCTACACTAGCGTCAAGCTATATTTTCAACAGTTTAAAAAGGATATCCATATGAAAAATGTTCCACATTAAATTAGACATACGTCGGTCGTTGTTTCGTTTAGTAAATATAGAATAAACGTCATTTTTCAGAACGTATAGATTTTACTGATTATTGCGATAAACATTATCATATGCCTTAAATTCTGACTGAGGTAAGATTTTTCGTAATAAGTTATTTAGAATTTTATAAAATGCTCATTAGCATAAAAAAGTTATTAAATTGCTTATTAATTTAATTTGTGACATTACGTAGTCCGGGTTCAGTTCGAAGCTGTTTCAAGCCCGACAAAATGTTTGGCTCGCAGTTTATTTTAAGCTGGTTCTATATTAGTCGCATCGTAAACGTTGAGATCCAGTTGTTAACCAATCATCGTCGAGCTACCTTGACGCTAATTGGATCGCAACGTTTGTGACGTTGCGATGCGATTATTGTAAGATAGAAACAGTTTTACGCAGTTGAACTGGAAATTGTAAAATTCATCCTATTATATTATTATTAATATAAGCACTAATATCCGCTTCAGATCGCATTTCACATTTCTAATCTTGTTTAAATTTTCGTGATTTTAATTAGGTTTTAATATTATAATAATAACATTATTAGGGTAAACCCGGTATATACGCCGCACCTATTAAAAACTTAATTTATCAGGTATTATCTATTAAGTTTAAGTTAAACCCTTACGAAAAAGATGGGTTAGGGATTGTAATTCATGTAGTTATTGTAATCCCTCACAAAAATATTATATTCAACAGACCACACGCGTGTAGTTATTGTAATACAAATATTACGGTGGCCAACTTAATTACATGCAGTAGCGACACATTACAAGGCGATACTACAATTTAGTTATTACACAGATCGGAACGTACACGCGTGTGATTACTATTATTTATATTATAAAAAGATTACAATATATATATATATACATACTCTAATACATATAAAGTGTGTGATATACTGTATCTCAGATAGCAAAACCTGCTGAGACAGATTTCTAACAGAGTATGCTATCGTTATTTGATGGCAAAACGGCAACAAATTTTATACAGTATATCTATATGATGATGTCGACAAACTCCCTCATTCATTTCGTTGTCGTCTAACTCTTTTTAATCATCCTCTCCGCACAGTATCTTAGAAACATTTTCCTTCGCTTCAATTACTTCTGCTGAGCTCTTCAACATCCTCAAGTGCATAAAACTGACTTCTGCCAGGTCACATGATCTCTCCGGGCATATGCTGTTGCTTTGCCTCCCAGTTTCGATCCTCTTTTCTACATTCTTAACTTTTTTCTGTCCTGCAGTACCTTTCCAATTTCCTGGAAGAGTCTACATTGTCTTCACAATTCCTAAAACTCGTAATTCCTTCTCGTTCTCTTGCTTTCACCCTATCTCTATTTCTTCGTAACTCTCGAAACTTTTGAAACTTTTGCTTTCAGTTACTCGCGTTCTTCAGTAACACCAATGTTATTCCTAACTGCCAATTCAAATTCCATCAAATGCACAGCACTACTCGAGCTTCAAAAATGCTGAGCTTCTGTATTTATCTGATTTCATACTGCGCGGTTCCAACTCTGGTTGTTATTTGATTTCATTGACTCTCGACTTTTCAAAAGCATTCGACACGGTCAATTACGATCGAATTACTTCTCGCCAAACTTAATTTTTATGATTTATCCTCCTCTGCTCTTTCTCTCATGCATTCCTTCCTCAGAAATCGCTCCCAATGGGTATTCCTTTACATTCCTCTTCCCACTTTTCGTTTCTTTGCGGTGTCTCGTCCGGAGTGTTCCAGGGCTCTGTTCTCGGGCCTTTATTGTTCAGCGTCTTCACCGCTGACCTCGCTTCTATGACTTCTATCTCTATCTTTCATCCAAACTCTTCATGTATGTACACTCGCTCACTAAAAGGTTGCGACA